AAGGCCATTTAAAGCTTCTCGCATCTTCTTAGCTCTAGCTCTCATGACTGGACCTCTTGGAATATGTAATGGATCACATGACGTGGTAGATATGCTGTCGTCTTGATTCCCATCAGAAGGAATTTACTTACAAAGTGAGATTGGAAATTTGAAGAAATAAAAATAAAAATTAAAAAAAAAATTCAAAGCTTTGTTGCAGAGAGCCAATGTAAGAAATAGAGAAATATGGTGAGATTGGGATGAGATAAACTTGACTAAGAGTAAAACGGGATTAGAAGGAAAAAAGAACAAGAAGCCATAATATTTCTGAAATATCCCAAAATTTTTTGAAATTTTAGAATTTAAGTTAAGGGCTTTTGTGATAGAAATTGTTATTTTTGGGCCTAATAGCTAAATTCACAAACCTAAGGGGGGTTAAAAGTGAAGTTTGGTGATAAGAGGGGCTGAGCTGACTTTCTTTTTGCCTTCCCTTGCCTTTCTGCGTGTTTTCCCCAACCATCACTAGAAGTTTTCCTCCCCAAGCCCTTACCTTGCGCCAGCACCTCCTTGCTAGAATGATAGGTAAGAGCTTAGTTTCTTCCTTCTCTTAGCAAGGGTTAAAGATAAATGAGTTTATGGTTCCAAAATGATGCTCCAAATTTCCAGATCTAGCTGCTGCAACCTCCCAATCTCTTGATCTGTGTTGGATTTGCTGTCCACAGTAAGGGATCACCATTTTCTAGAACCTTTTGGTAAGAAATCAACCTTGTTGCTCATGTTTTCATCCTTGATTTGAAGTGGGTTAGCTCTAATCATTTAGGGTTTTCAATTTTGGGAGTGTTTCTGTAGTTCTTCCCCTTGATTTTGCCTATAATCTAGCATCATTAGCTCTGGTCCCTCTTTTTGCTGCAAATTCAAACTGCATGACCCTTTTATAGTAATTTGCCCGTAAGTCTTTCTTTGGTTATCGGATTAAATGCATTTTTAATTCTATAGAAAACTAAGAGATAGCCCTACAACTTTTATGTTGGACATTTAACCCAGTTCAATTGTTTTCTTGGTGGAAAATCTGCTCTAAGTCTGATTCCTACAGACAGACTTAACTGGCAGCCCAACCCTGTGTTGGTTTTTTGGTCATAACTCTCTCTGTAGATGTCGAATCAATGTAATTCTTGATGCTATAGAATGCTAAGACATAGGGCTACAATTTATCTGTCGACTACTACCCAGATCAGTCAATTTTTGGGTATGAATTCTGTTGGAATTTCCAACACGAAATCTGACCAGAAATTGACAGAATTTACTCTCTTTTCTGCTTTATTCCCACTGTACCTACTGCCACATTGCATCATGGTTTTAGTAGACTTTTAGTTGTTATTTTCTTGCTCTAAAACCCTTTGTTATTGCTTTACTTTGGCTGCCCTTTTCGCTACTTAAATGCTGTCCATTTTTGCACAGTTCTAACTTGTGTTCGGTCTATTTTGTTGCTATCTTTTTGCCTAGAAATCCCCGCTGTTCAGGGCTTATTCCAAGCATTTTGGGGACTGTTTTAAATGGAAAACCCCCCCAACTTTGCTACCTAATACTTCTGCTGCGTCTAGGATAGCTAAAAGCTCAATTTATCACCATTTTTCCACCTTATTTTGTCCCAAAAAAATCTGTTTGGGATACCTGCTGTTCGTGTGTCTTTTGGAGCTGTTTTAAGCATATTCTAAGTATTTATTTGATATGGTATAGATTGTAAATCACCTCAAGCACCTTGACTTCTTAAATTCCTTGCTTGTTATATGCGGGTGACGTAAGTAAAATCATGGTAAATGCCTTGGATTTTAAGGTAAAGGTTTTAAAGCAAATTTTAAACTGTTTTTGAAGTGGTGGCGGGACTAAACTAGTTTTACAAAAAAACGAGCATGATTGGTTTAAAATGAAATTGTTATCATTTATTGATTTGAGCATGCCTACTTGGAGTTTATTGAACTGTTCTGATAATCTGAAATTGATTTGTTTTCCTATAACTTCTGCATGGTTTTATCTCTAATATGGTCATGATTACTCATGCCCGTTAGTGAGAGTTTACAAACGCTAGCACATGTCGACATGTATACTTGTAGAATCGATTCATTTTGTATTCCTGTTAATCCTGCTAGTGGGATTAGTACATTTGTTATTATTGACGCCTGCCAGTGGGAGTTTGGTAAACACTGGTTATGACTAATTAAGGAGACCACTATTGATTTTTATTTTGCCTTAATGATTTATAACTGAGATGTTCGTTTGGTTTATGTTTTAAATCGTTTATCTGGCATGCTATAAATTTTAGGTTAAATCCCCATTTTGGTCCCTGAACTATTGTATGGACCCCTGATTTGGTCCTTGAACTAAAGAAATCCCTGATTTGGTTCCTAAACTATTGTACGGACCCCCGATTTGGTCCCCACTGTTTATAATTTGGCCTAAGTTGGCTTGAACTATTGTACGGGCCCCCAATTTGGTCCTTACTGTTTACAATTTCACCCCAATTTGGTCCCTAAGCTATTATTTAACGGAAGGACCAAGTTGGGGCTAAATTGGTAAACAGTAGGGACCAAATTGGGGATCCGTATAATAGTTTAGGGACTAACTCGGGGATCCGTACAATAATTTAGGGACCAACTCAGGGGCCCGTACAATAGTTCAAGGACCAAATTAGGGATTTCTTTAGTTTAGGGACCAAATCGGGGGTCCATACAATAGTTCAGGGACCAAAATAGGGGTTTAACCTAAATTTTAATTAAGGGCTATCTATATTTGTACCTACTAAGTTATCTCACAGAGTTTTTCCTCGTCCACCATTTCAGATACTAAAACCAAAGACGTGGGAAAAACTAAGGGGAGTGACGAGTTAGAAGACTAGTCATTTGTATTTCAGACATAGATTATCTTGGAGTTAGGCTGGCCACACATATTTGGACTTAAATTATTTTGTAATTAGGTTTGCAAACTAAATTTTATTTTGAGATTTTTGCAAATTTGTGATATGAACTATGCCAACCTATGATGAAACTCGTAAACAAAACAAGGCACCAAGACCGTTTCTAAGACAAGTTCGAGAGAATGGAACTGCAACCTGTTACCTATGATGAGGTAAGAACCTTGGTATGGAGAAGACGCCACAATCAACTATGGAAGGGCTTATTGATAAGTCCAGGATGAACGTGATGGATAATTCCAATAAGTTCGAAAAGTTGTTCAAAGAACCAGAGAGAATTCGTTCTCTCAATGCTAATGAATAATCATCCCCCTACAATTAGGGTTACAGCTCTATAAATAGCTAAAATTAATCCTAAGTAAAATAGGAAACTAACAAAACAGGTCCTAACCCTAATAACCAAGAATTTGGGCTTCAACTAAACGAAAGTTTAGCCCAAATAACACAAAAAAATGGGCAAAAGGTACTCGTTTTCCCTTTAACTTTTTGAATTTTAGGCATTTTACCCCTCATATTACAATATATGATTTTTTACCCTTAATGTTTTCGAGTTTAGGGAAATAAGGCAAAATTTAATGCCAAAAAGTCACGTGCGGCACATCAATCGTTAATCTTCGTTATACCTTGACGTGTCAATGCCAACTCAAATTTTTTTACATACTGGCAAGTCCAGCTTGCATCCTTGGTGAGCTGGAATTCTACCCCAACAATTTAGTTTTTTTTTTTTTTTTTCATTCCTCACTTTCCTCTTCCCTTTCTTCAACTTTTTCTTCAACTTCTGCAAATCTCTAACATCTCAACCAATCTATTTACCCAATCAACCATGCCTTTGAAGGAACCTAGTGTGTGGGTTCGATGGAACCCTCAACTTCTACAAATCTCTAACATCTCAACCAATCTCTACCTTTTGGGTTCTTCATCATCAGACAACAAAACCCACAGAAAATTTAAATTTTGTCACTAGGTTCCATAGAACCCGCACCTAGGTTCATTGGAACCTAGGCGTGGGTCGATGGGAACCCTCAACTTCTACAAATCTTTAAGTCAACCAATCTATTCACCTCAATCAATCTCTACCCTTACTAGGTTCTTCATCACCATTAAAAAAACAAAACCCACAGAAAGCCAAAAAAAAAAGGAAATTTTTTTAAAAAAATTTTTTGCCATGGGGTTACATAGAACCCGGGCCTGGGTTCCAACAAACCCAGGCATGGGTTCCAAAAGGAACCCAGGTGTGGGTTCTAGGGAACCCAAGTGCTGGGTTCCATCGGACCCAGTGCCTGGGTTCCAAGAAACCCAAGCGTTGGGTTCCATTGAACCCCAGCGCAGGGTTCCATGGAAGGCTTCTGTTTGCTGATGAATTCTGTTGGGTTCTAAGGGAGAGAGAAAGGACAAGAGAAGGACAAAGAAAAAAAAAGAAAGAATTTTTTTTATCATATTATTATTTTTCTTATGTCATTATCATAAAGTCCAAGCTGGACTTGCCAACATGTAAAAAAATCTGAGTTGGCATTAGCACGTCAAGGTATAACGAAGATTAACGATGCATGTGCCGCACGTGACTTTTCGGCGTTAAATTTTGCCTTATTTCCCTAAACTCGAAAACATTAAGGGTAAAAAATCATATATTGTAATATGAGGGGTAAAATGCCTCAAATTCGAAAAGTTAAAGGGCAAACGGGTACCTTTTGCTAAAAAAAAATGTAAAAATAAGCTAAATAACCTAAAACATTTTGAAATATCAGTTTGCGGCCAACTGCAACAGATTTGATGCAAATTGTGTAATTCAACCCGAGAAAGAAAAAAAAACTTGGCATGCAAACCAAAACCCAAAAAGGAAAGTAATGAATTTGAGCCAGAATGCTTGCTAAATTCATGCCCAAAGTTCATGACCATTACTTGCAAAGATTAGGCTTTGATACGAACTACGCCAACCTGTGACGAAACCCATAAACAAGACAAGGCACCAAGACCGTTTCTAAGACAAGTTCGAGAGGATGGAACTGTAACCCGTTACCTATGATGAGGTGAGAACCTTGGTATGGAGAAGATGCCACAATCAACTATGGAAGGGTTGATTGATAAGTCGAGCATGAACGCCACGGATAATTCCGATAAGTTCGAAAAGTTATTCAAAGAACCAGAGAGAATTCGTTCTCACAATGTTGATGAATAATGATCTGTTTTACAATTAGGGTTGCAGCCCTATAAATAACTAAAACTAATCCTAACCAGAATAGAAAACTAACAAACCAGGTCCTAACCCTAATAACCACGAATTTGGGCTTCAACTAAATGAATCTTTAACCCAAATAACACAACAAACGTAAAACTAAGCTAAAATAACCTAAGAACATTGTGAAATATTAGTTTGCGGCCAACTGCAGTAGATTTGATGCAAGCTGTGTAATTCAACCCCAGAAAGAAAAACTTGGCATGCAAGCCAAAACCCAAAAAGGAAAATAATAAATTTGAGCCAGAATGTTTGTTGAGTTCACGCCCAAAGTTCATGACCATTACTTGCAAAGATTAGGCTTGGCTTTGACAGAGTCTTCTTCTAGAACTTGGATTAAGCTTACGTAATTCTGAGGCTCACATGGACTTCCCTCAATGGGCTTCCACGAATTTGCTTGAGTCCATATTTCTCGAATTAACTCATTTAGGGCTTCCTTGAACTTCTTAGCTCGAGCCCTCGTGACTGGTCCAACAGGAACTTGAATTGAATCCTTTACAGTCAAACCTGGATTTACATCATTCCCCTCCTCTTGAAAAGGATTTGTCCTCAAATTGTCTACTGCATCAAAAGGACTCAAATCAATAACATTGAAAGTGGCACTAACATTGTACTCACCTGGTAAATCTAGTTTGTAAGCATTACCATTGATGCGCTCTAAGACTTGGAAAGGACCATCTCCTCTTGGAAGCAATTTGGAACGCCTTTGTGCTAGGAATCTTTCTTTCCTCATGTGCAACCAAACCCAATCTCCAGGTTCAAAGACCAGCTTAGAACGCCCCTTGTTGGGTTGTTTTGCATATTGCTCTGTTCTTCGCTCAATGTTGAGTCTTCCCTTCTCATGAATCTGCCTCACAAAATCAGCTTTCTTTTTGCCTTCATGGGGTTGCACTTGGGATTTTGCTTGCCTGCACATGACACATCTACCACAAATCCTCTCAACATTTCTTTTCATGCTTGGCCAAAAGATGTGTTCCTGCAAAATAACTAAGGTCTTAGCAACCTCATGAGAACCCCAAAGAGAACAATGAGACCCACAACACGACAAGGGATTTCTAAACTCCAGGAAAGCTAAATCAGATTTATAATAGGAGCTTGACGGTTTATGTCACAACAAGAACCAAAGGTAAAAACCTTGACCCGTTGTTTATGACGCAACAAGAACCAGAGGTATAAAGTTGGTTGATGCCACACCCTCAAAACAATTAAGAATGAGAATGATAAGTCAGGTTAGAATGCCACAAGAATAATCTTGATAAGTTCTGTAAAGTTCTTAAACGAACCAAAGAGAAAAGTCTCTCAAAATCTCAGATTCAATTGCCTCCTCCCAATTAGGGTTACAAGCCCTTTAAATAGCAAAAAGTAATTCTAATCAGAATAGGAAACTAACATCCTAAACCCTAATTCTAATAACCACGAATTGGGCCTCAAATAAATGCATGTTCAGCCCAAAATAATACAAAAAAACGTGAAAAATCACTGAAAGTAACCTAAAGTACATGAAATATCAGTTTGTTACAAATTGCGACAGAATTACGGGATTTTGACGCAAACTGTGTAATTTAGCATAAACGACCTC